TTCTCAAAGCTTTAACTTTATTAGATATACTGTATTTATTATTGTTAAAAGTTTTTTTATTAATATTGTCAACTTTCTAATATAAATTTTATATATTATTAAGACTAATTTGTATTTTTATTTTAACTAGTATATTTTTTTTTTAAAAAAATAAATAATTATATTTTTTGAATTTATTTTAAATTTTAAGTATTTTAAAGATTAAATAGGTACTAATTGATTCTTTTATATATTATAATAAGTTTGACTTAGTTAGAAGTTTTTATATAATTTTAAAATATTTTTTAAGTTTTTTTTCTGTTTACTATTATTAACAAATATCTAAATATTTGCAATATATATTTTTATTTGGTTTAGTATCTTTATTATAATTTTAGAATTTTTATAAATATCTAGAAATAAGATATTAAGCTAAATAGATAATATTTAAAACAAAATATTATTTTAAAAATTAAATATAAAATACTTTTAAATAAAAATATAAAAGTATATAAAAAAATACTTTTTATATTGATTAATATCATATAATTATTTTTTTAATTAAGCTTTTTATTATAATTATTAATTTAATTTTGAAATATATATATTTTATAAAAATTGTAAATCTAAAACTATTTATTTTTTTTATCTTTTTATGACAATAAAAATATTAAAAATATAACAATAAAACTATTTTAAAAAATAATTTCATTGCTTATATTTGTAGAAGATCTAAAAATTCTTTTTTTACTAATTCTAAATTTATATAAATTATTAAATAGTTTTTTATAAAATAAAAACTTAAAAAAGATTTTTAATCTTATTTTGATAAGTAATTATGTTTTATTATTAATCTTAATTATAAGTTTTTAAATTTTTGTGATCAAATTTATTTAAAATATTTTAATAATTTTGATATTAAATATAGTATTATAAATGACTGCTATACTGATTATCTAGTTTAAGTTTTTTTAATTTAGTTTAATTTTATTTATTTTATTTATTCTTTTAATTTTTTTTTTTTTTATTATTTAAAATTAGTTTGAGAAATAAATTTTTTTTGTTATATAAGTATAATATTGTCATGATCCAAAATAGAATCGTCAATATTTCATTTAAGTTACATCGCATAATGAAGTAATAATATATAGTAATTATTATAGCACATAGTATATAGAGTGTAATTAGTAAATATAGTACATAGAGCATAATTAGTAGATATAGCATATAGAGCATAATTAGTAGATATAACATATAAAGCATAATTAGTAGATATAGCATATAAGGAAAAAGTATATAAGTAATGTGGTTATAATGTAATAAAAACAAGTCTCGCAGTATAATCAATAAAGAGATATTCACTCTTAGTACTTGTCCAAATTCAACACCTCTTTTGAGTATTATTTCATCCAATATTACATGAAAGACTCTTATTTACCCTATGAATAAGGAATTTTAGAGTATAATTTCTGTAATACAACAATATATAATTATTAATTTGTTTAATTAGATAAATAAACTGTTTTTTTTTAATACTATTATATAGTTTGAATTTGGTATTTTCTTCTTTTATCAAATCTTTAAACATGTTATTAAATATATCTTCTTATTTTTAGTTAGAATATAATTAAGAAACAATACTTTAAATAAAATTCTCATTATAAATCATTGGTATATAATAATGCATTTTATAAGAGTTCTTTAGCATTTTGAGTTAACTTATATAATAATTCATATTCTTATTAGATTTTTTAATCATTGTTAATTAGATTTAATTTGAAGAAACCTTCTTAATATTGTCAATAGAACATAAAATTACAGATGTTTAGTAAAAAATATTTTTAATAATTTTATTGAATTCTTTTTGCTACTTTGATATTGCATACAAAAAATATAATTCTATTTAAAAAATTTATAATTAACTTATGTATTGTGTGATTCTCATGTAGTATTTTTTGTCATTCAGATTTGAAGAATGTACAATCCAAATAGATTTTAGTAGATAAATTTTTAAGATTTTTAGAAAAGAATCAAGTTTTTGGTTTTTTATTATTAAGAACTTTGTTTAAGTCAGAATCATCAAAGTGCATATTGTCTGAGATAGGTTGATTATTTAATATAAAAGAATGTTGTTTTTTTTTTAATTAATGCAGTAAGATTACTTTTATAATATATAAGGTTCTAAGATACAAGCAAATTCTTTCTAGGCTGTTTTGTTTTTGATGTTGTCTGCTCTTAGTAAGACACCTTAATAATGTAGTAAAATAAGAATTAAAAGTAAGATAAAAAAAACTTTCTATTACATTACACATATTTGACTTTGTATTACAATTTGAACACCAATAATAAACAAGGCCAAAGCATGTGATCTTATTAAGTTTATTTTGTGGTAACTCGAACTTTCATCCATAAAACCTTTTTTTGTGTTCTAATTAAAAATTCTTTGCAAAATTTTACAGTAAAAAACCCTAATCTAACCCTAACCAAACTCCAACCCTGACCCTAAAAATAATTAACTTTAGCGTGTGTTTTGATTCCATTGCACGATCTATTGGTCAATTGCAATCCGATGATTGTTGCTGCCGGCGACAACTAGATTATTTCTAAAAAGTATACTGATTATTATTATTATTATTTTTAAAATAAAATTGATAAACGTTATTATTGAAGTTAGAAGCAAGAAGGCTTTTGCCGTCATATTATTAACATTGTCCAATAAAATTAATGTCCAATTAACTAATTGGACATAATATTTTTGAACATTGTCCAATGCCTAAAGGTCCAAAAAGTTATTTGGACATTTGGACTATGTCCAAACGTCCAAATCTCCAATTAAATTTATTTGGAAATTGCTCAATGCTAACCCTGACTAAAATCCAAGCTATTATTAATACTGTATAATTATTGGATGCTTCGCAATTGTATCGTGACCGCGTGAACACGATATTGTCACACCGACAAAGTTATTCTAGTCCAGATACGTATATCAGTTATTGGTGAATAACGGTATTATCCGACAATCAGTAACATATAACTCGAGTTTTGTAATCGCACTGACATTGTGAATTGAAGCAAATAAGGATTGTCCACTTCGCGGATAATAACTGATTTATTCCCAGGTTCTTATTATACTTATATATCATTTTTCGAATTGAAGTCATGTATTTCATAAGTTTAGCTTTATTACAATTAAAAAAAGATATATAATCAAGAGAATATATAAATTCTGGATCAGTCCGAATAAAAATAGTATAAAAGTACAGAAGGAAATGTACCCGATCCAAACCTAATCCCACACTTAGTGTGCAGCACATAAAAAAATTGGTTCAACAATGATGGGTCACTTAACCGCCAATGTTATAAATATAATCCCTTACAGGTTGGATCGGATACGTTTCCTCCTGTTTATAAAAGAACCGGAAGTATATTACAAGACCAGGTGTAACGTGAAATCAAAACAAAAAATAACATTTTTTTAAAAAAACTGCCGTAACTCAAAATTTGGTCTATGTAACCATCTTCTGCGCATTAGTAAAAAAATTCCTTGCAAATTTTAGTATAAAACAAGTATCGTTATAATTATAAACCTGACCCTAATGTAACGTTTTACGACTTTAAATAAATCGTCGATCAGTGAAAATCCATCGGGTAGTTTGGGAGGCACGTGAACTATTTATACTAAAATCATGGATTTTAACAAATGTTATTAAATTTTTCGCCTGTTTGCATGCGCAAAGTAAATTTTAATTGGTTCCCGAGCCCAAAGTTGGTATTGTACAAATTTCTCATGATCTATTGGAAGGTGCTATGACATCAATACCTATCATTGTGCATAGCACGTTAATAAACCGTTACCGAACCCGAAAGTACGGGTTAGGTTACACATCTTAATTTATCCATGTTCTCAGAAGCTTTTATCTATCGTTATTCCACTCTACATCGCTCCGTGAGGAGATTGAGGTAACTCCCCATTACTTGGGGCTTCAGCAAAAAAAGCACCTTACGTAAGGTTTAAAATATTGAACTTTACTAGCATGTTAACAAATGCTAGCAACAGTGCTAGTAAGCGCGCCTACGATCCGATTTAAAAAACAAAAAAAAAACAAAAAGAAAACATGTCATTATGCATAATGATGTAATTTTTATATATCAGCTTTTTAATTTTTACGCACAACAATACTTATTTATCTTTTGGCCATCTTTTTATTCCCACTGTTACTGGAACGAATTAGGTAATATACCGTAACCTAGAAAGCATGATCGATCTTGTAGATATTGTTCAACTCGTCATAACACTCACATTCGTCATAATTCTTTTTTTTACCATATATATCAGCAGTTATATTTCATTCTAACCACGATCCAAAACTTTAAACTATTATATGTACATGTATTACTGTTACGTAAGATTATTCTGTAAATCAACATACGTACGTACTGGTACATATTTAAAAGTAATATCTTTCAATCAAAATATATTCCAAACCAAATTTAACAAATCAAAATATTGCAACAAAAGTATAGCAAAAATCATTCAACATTTGAAATTTTAAGCTTCAAAAATGGGACCTTAGTATCCTGCCCTGTATATAATATTTATTAAGAATATTAGAATCTGTCATATGATCAACGCTTTATTTACGCATTATTTATAACTTTATTTAAATGTTTAGGCTAGGTTTTACAATCTTTAAATTACGTATTCATACTATAATAATTTTCGTTTCAAATTTTCTGTTTATAAAATTGGTAAAAAATGACAGTTGGCTAAAATATTGATGAAGCCCGCCCAACCTAATGCTAATTTTTATTAACGTAGTACTAAAAATGGAATAGTAATTTATATCACATGCTTTATTCGTCGTCATTAAATTACGTAAACTAAAGTTTATTGAGTTGTCTCGTGCCCCGACGACAAAGTATATTAAGGACATCTTTCTTTCCTATTTTTACGTTGCTGTGATCTTTCATTAAACATTTCATACCTATTTCCTATTCCTTCTATTCAAATAATAATAAAGATGAGAGCTATTACACATCCAAATGATTTTACAATGCCTGAAATTCCAATATCTGATGATAATATACTTCCATTTATCATTATCGGTTGTGTAGCGATTGGATCCATTTGTATTCATTTTCTTGTAACATTTATTCTAAGAAGAGTTGCAACTAATTCTGGATGGACTTTTGATCATGAAATTGTTAAACATTGGTAAGTTTTTTTTTAAAAAAAAATTAGTGATATGTTTTTTTAAACATGTGTCATCTACGCATTGGAGTGACGTCAAACGAAACCAGTAACATTCTATGCATTTGATATCAGAAATTAAATAACATAAGAATGTTACTGACTCACATATTGTGTAATTCAATGCGCGAACGTGTTCAATGTTTGAAGAAATTTTTAATTCAAACTGATCATTAAGTTAGTCAACTAAATCTATCATAAAAATATAATATATTTTAAAAACAGTTCAAAACAGACTCTTTTCATGTTTCCGGTTGTATCTATTCTTATATCAACCTCATTTTTCCCAGACGTTGACCCAAACATAATGAATCCAATTCGTCACTTTTTAGTAATATCTTTAATAATATTTGCTACGTGGGCTGCATTTGGATTTGTAAAAGCTTCATCAATTACCATAGCCCGAAATCACTTCTTTAGATCCCGAAAATCACAAACTCAAATCATAGTCACCACCAGAGTCGCTTACGGCATAGTTGGTTTATTAAGTGCTGCTTGTGTAATTTTAACTTTTCCACAGGGTTGGGAACTTGGTGCAAGTTTATTGGCCAGTGCTAGCGTTACCGCCTTATTTATTGGGCTTGCGGCAAAACCTTCTTTAGAGGTGAACTTACAATATAATTAATGAAAAATTAAAAGTTTTGATTCATTGTACTAATTTTTTTAATTTATCAAAATGTTACAACATTAGAATTTGATAGCATCTTTGCAAATTGCTTTGACTCAACCTCTATTATTGGATGATTATGTCGTTATAGATGGTTTTGCTGGAACTGTTGGTACGTACAATTAATTTTATTTTTATTAAATTCATTACATTAATCCATATAATTAATATATATATATGCACTTTATTATTTTTAAGAGGAAATTAAATCTCAATATATAGTATTGAGAAGTTTAGAAGAAAGACGATTTATAATCCCATTATCTCGTGTGACTACCTACACTTTTCAAAATTGGTCCCGCACAAATGAAAGCATATCCACAACGTTTAATTTATTTGTTGATTATGGTATTCCACTTGAAGATTTGAGACATCAATTTTTTAGCCTTGTAGAAAAAAATGATCGTTGGGATAGGAGAGATGCTTCTTTAAATGTATATATATATGATGTTTTGTTCTATAAAAAAAATTCATGAATAGAATAAAACTTAAACGTTAAAAAATTTTTGTAGATTTCGGAGGCTAAAGAAAATTCATTGATGTTGGCGGGTACCGTAAGTGGTATGTACATATTAATTTATTCTTCTTACACTGTATTATATGCGGTTTGTTATACATCTTAATTGAATTAAATTTATTATTGTTAAACTAGCTGTAAATATACATATGGCTCGCATAATAAAAACTCAAATCCAAGAAAAATTGGTAGGCTTGAATTACTTTATTGTTATTATTAAACTTTTTTTTTAATACTTTTATTCATCATACATCATAATATAAAATAAGATCGAATACATAGTGACTACATATCCGCAATATCTTCCTCGAGCACGATCTGAGCATGTACCATCACGAACCGGTGTTGATAGCATGAAAAAAGTTGTTCCAAAAATGGACGAAGCAATTATTTTATAATTAGGTTGAAATGTTAATAAAATAATTCAATTTGATTAGGTTTATTATTATATGTTAACCTTTTCTCTTGTTACAATTTTGGCATTTTTGTATTTATTCATAACTTACGTAATTAATTATTTATGTAATGGAATTTTACTTTTCTTGATTTAAATGTATTTTATTGAAATAAAAACCTGGTCATGGTTTAAAAAAAAAAAAGCGAATGGCTTTCTTTTATTTTTTTATTTTTGGGTTGTGCATTCCAGGCCTTCGAATCCTTAAAACAAGTAATCGTAATTTATAATATTGTTATTATTATAGATAAAACCTAACAACCTTTATTTACTAAAACTTTTAAAATTCATCTTATAATGTAAGCATTCTTAGCAAAAATCAACTTTCTTTGATTATAATTGGTATCTATTCTTAGTCTCTTTATTGTTAAATGCTAACGGAAAAATGGAATGTTGATGAGAAGCCGATGGAATGTAGCACTTTCTTTTGATGAAAACGTTTGCTTTAAACAAACATCAATGTTATTTAACATCCCAATCATTTTTACAAGCCTGACTTTGTTCGTTTGTCTATTGTCTGGATGACAAAGCATTCGATGATCACTTCTAAATACTTGTTAGATCATTTATATTTTGGAAGGAAAACCAGACTTCAGTCATCGGTCATATAATTTATATAATCGAAGTCTGGCATTGTCCTTTTATAAATATATGGGCTGCCATCAATAGAAATCAAGCAGATTGACATTTTTAAAATTAATTTTCACAGCTCATAACTCGATGAATTTCGAAGCTATTCTCATGAATAAATAGTCAAGTGAAAGCCTAAGATCTAAGATTCCTTTTGGCTATTCAATCATGAGAACAGCTTCGAAATTCATTTATATATGAGCAGTGAAAGTTAAGGCATCAAATTTTTTTAAAAATGTTAATCAGCTTGATTTCTATTGACGGCAGCCCATATACAGACTAAAAGAAATCATTTACTATAAATTTTGTAACTAAACCAAAAATTATATGTAGAATTGTCTTTATTTGATTGGTAAGCGAGAATAATAATGAACCTAATTCACTTACTCTTTATAGACGAATACAACTATATAGGTTAGGGTTGGCAAATGTTTTAAAACGTGATCTTTAAAAAACTCATCATTTGATTTTTAAAAATGTTTTAATACATTATGACGTAACTATGATCCTACTGTGTAATTTATAAATCTGTAACAGGTTATATCAACCAAATCGAAAGAGTATAACAGTCATAGGACATGTCTATTTGAATGTTGTTACTTATAAATCAAATGAGTTGACTTACTTAATTTTATATGTAAATTTATGCAAAAAAAACATTTAAATTAGATTTATTTAAAAATATACATATAAATCTTTCTTTAATTTTTAAAAAACTATTTTAACCAATCATATTATTGAATAAAGTAAGTCAATTATTTAACTTAAAGAACATAGTAAAGAATTGACCAACTTTGATGAAAGATTTTTTTCACTCTGCTTAAAATTAAAAACTAAAAATTTAAACAAAAGAGTACTAAATGCTAAAGAATATATATTTAAAATTTAAAGAAAGTTTTATATGTATATTTTTAAATAAATCTAATTTAAATGTTTTTTTTGTATAAATTTATATATAAAATTAAGTAAGTCAACTTATTTGATTTATAAGTAACAACATTTTAAGCCTTTATATATGAATATGTCTTATGACTGATAAAGATTAGAATTTAGCACAAGCTTTAATTACTTGATGTTCGATATACTCATGAAACCTTTACCAGAAACAGAGTTTGTACAATATACAACATAGTGTATAGTTTACCTGAGAAATGCCTTGTACAAAATCTCAGATCTGATTGGATATTCAATCTTTGTGACTTTATCTCATAATTTTTATATTTGTCTGATGAATTTTTGCATCAATATCAATATCATGCATAAGGTGCAATAAGTAGTTTATGTTCACAAAATCTTAAGTTTGATTGGTCTGCATGACTTATTCATCAAATTTACCAGGAACAGAGTATAAATACATAAGGTATGATTTACTTAAGAGTTAGATAGTGTGTGTGATTCTTAGCATATGATTGGGTTATCCTTCATTATGATCTTGTGTAGCACTCTGAACAATACTTTAAAAGATAGGTACCAGTAATGAATGTTTCTGTATGCAAAGTCTTGAAATTGATTGGTCCACATGACTTATTCATAGTTTAGAATCTATGTAGCTTACCTACAAGATTTTTTCTAGTATGTGATTCTAGCCAATTAGATTGAAAAATCAGATGTAATGTAAAAATCACGTCTTTTTAAAAAATTACTATTACTTCAAAATTATACCTATTAAACTACCTTCTGCATTCTAATAAAAAAAATTTCTCGTAAAATTTTAGTATAAGCTATGTTATTTTTTATCTCTTATCTTAACCTTAAGATGATGCTTCTTACTTTAAAATTTTTTACTTAATTCAATTGTTTTGATTTTACGTTATGCCTGATTCTTTGATATAATTGGCTAAAAATCATATACTGAAAAAAGTCTTGTGGATGAGCTACTATTAATATAGATTAGTAAAAAAAAACTTATAAATAAGCATGCACATTTGTAAAATCAAAGATGCAATAACAAACAGTAGTAAAAATAAATTTTTTGTTATAACAATTAGTAACCCAATGTAAATTTAAAGTTCTTGATATTAAATATTTTGTAATTTTCATTTTTTTCATCAAATTTTTTATTAGAAGATAAAATAATAATTACTGATTATCAAAAATTTAATCAAAAGAATTTGTCAATTCTTTCTAAATATGTAGATATGTTTCATAAATTATAATGTTTTTTGCAGAACCCCAGAATTTTGGATCAGATTTATTGGAATTGAGTAATGCTAACTTCATTAATAAGTTTTTAGGCTCAGTTACTAAAATTCAAACCAATATTCAGATTGCAAGTACTATTAACTCTTTTATAAAGAGTCATTTTCTTATACCAGGAATAGATTCAATAAAGAATATAGTTTCTTGTAATTGAAATGGAGTCTGCATAAATTTTCTCCATTTCTGGTTTCATGTGACAACATTGTGCAGCTACTTATTATTTAGAAGTTAAACCTGTGTTAATCATAGTGTGAAAGGGTTAGTTAGGTAAGTTCAGAGATAGGGCAAATATGACAAATTGTCACTTGAGAATCAAATATGTCATGTAACATTGCTCAAAAATAATAGAGGCAGCTTTGTGATTTGGCACAAAGTTAAGGTAATTGTTAAGAAGCATTACAAGATAAGTATAGACTTTTAAAAAATGTTTATTGTATTAGACAGTTTAAAGGATCTTTATTAATAATTTTATTAATTCTTTTTGTAAAAGCACTTGTCTATACTATTGGGCTATATGACTATACTATTGTATAATTCTGAACTATATATACTCAAACTACTCTGAACTATTTTTCAATAAGAAATTCTACATTTTTTATAATAAATTTGTTTATAAGAAGAGCATATACAAGATTACAACTTTTCTTATTGTTTCTATTGAATTCTAATCATTTTTGTTCTAATTTTTGATCTTTTTATAAAAACAATCTTTGTTATTTTAAACATTTTTTATGTTTTTTATAAAACTACTAAGAATATTTTAGTATTGCTTATCTTAGGATTAGAACTTAGCATAATTATTACAATCATATCTTTCTTAATATTGTCTCATATTTAACTCAAGTAGAGTAAAGTAATATTAATATTTATTTCTAGTTGTAGTAGTGTGAACAGGTTAGTTCGGATTGATCTTTCTTTAATTAAAAAGGGTAATAGGGTTTTATATTGGGTTTGTGTACTATTATATGACTTTCTTGAATCTGAGTGCATATGTTTTAAGTAGTTTATTAACTAATTAGATAAGTATGTTATGATTATGATCACTTTGCAGAGTTTTTAGTATAATGATTTTACTTCTAATAATAATAAAATTCTGTTTTCTTGAATTTAAATTATACTTGTAATTTTATTGGCTACAATTAGTAATTATCAATATAATCTGTTGTATATATTTATTAGATATTTATAGCATACTTAGGCTCAAATATAGAAATTATAAGAGGTGTCAGAAACCAAGCAAATTATTTCTAATTTTTTTTAAAACTTTAAATATCTCAACAATTATTAAACCAAACTTAATAAAATTTTTTTATTTTAATTTTATAAAGTTATAAAATTAAATAAAATAAAAAATTATAAATTTGGTTTAACAATTATTAATATATTTTAATTTAAAAATTTTAAAAAAATTTATTGAAAATTATAAACATTTTTCATATTGTTCAAAAATAATGTCTGATCTAAAAATTAATGCATATAAGCAAATAAAAGTATTTGTTTTGTCTTAAACTTAAATATTTTAGAACAAATTTTTGTTTTTATAATATTAAAATAATAATATTAAAAAAAAATTTATAAAATATTATATATTTAAATAATGAACAAAGAAAAAGATATAATACTTGCTTATATTAAAGTGTAAATATTGAACAAATTGCTTATAAGATTAATTATAACCTAATGATAGTTTAAAGTTTTTTAAAAAAGTATAAAAAAACAAAAAAAATAAAAAATAAATCTTATTTTAAATGTCTTCTTATTTTTTTAAAAAAAAAATTATTATGTTTTAAAAAGTATTGCAAGAGAAATATCAACTTTTATACAGTATTATCAAGTATTTAAAATTATAATATAATCAAAGAACTATAATTAGAGTCTTGCATAGCTTTAGAATTTATTTTTATATTACTATAATGAAATCTTTTTATTAAATAACAATATAAATAAATACAAAATTTAATATAAACAAAATTTAAATAAGAACCTTTATAAGTGGTAATATGTTATTTTTTTGATAAAATAAGTATAAAAATGAACAAATAATTTTGTTAGATTTGAGTATAATATTATATAAATGAATAATATAAATATAAATATTTTATGTTAAATTTTAGAAATATAAGAATGTCAGTAATAATATAATTATATTTTATTGATAAAATCAAAAGTCTTATAATTTTTTTTAATAATTATAAAGATCTCAAATAAAAAATACTAAAAAAAATTTATATCAAGATTCTTGAAGACATCTTGTATTATTTATTATTGTCACATAATTATTAGTCAGATTGAATCTAATATTTCAATATAATAATATTTAATGTATAAGATAATAGAATAGTTTAAATAAAAAAAATTAATTATATAAATTGATACTATTATTATTCTCTAACTTTAATCCAATAAAGAATATTTTAAAGATTATAAAAAACAATATTCAAAATTAGAAAAACTTTTCAAAAAATGTGAGTAAACTTAAAATAATTATAAAAAAAAATATAATTAAATTTAGATATGCCAATTTTTCAGATTGTTATAAAGTCATTATAGGGAAGAATTAAAGCAATAACAAATATAGAAGACTGTTTATGAAAATATTAAATAAATTTTAAAAAAATTTAATGTATATAAAACAAATTAATAAATAAAAATTTATTATTTTAATAAAAATTTGAATATTACTTTTACTACCTACTGTATATAATCTTTATAAATGCAAATATTAATTATATTTTTTTGTTGCATAGTTTCTTGTTACTAAAACTAACACTTTTATTTAATTAAAACTCCTCTTAATATTATTAGAACTTTCACTGTTCTATACAAACACATTATTACTCTACTATAATATATTTATTATAACTAGTGATATGGCATCTTTATAACAATGTTCAAGACTATAAATTGAAGTAGTATGTTCTATTTCTGTGACTTTTTAATAATAAAATAATGTCTTATTTTCATCTTTTTAACTCTTCTTTCAAATTAATAACAATATTCAACATTATTTATTTTACCAATGTTTTTCATATTTGCAGATTTTTGATAATAAATAAATGCCTTAAGTTTATTATTTTAAACTCCAATTTCATTATAATAATAATATCTAATATTAAATATCTTTTCAGCATCAAGTGCACATATTCCTCATTTTTGCAGATTTTTGATAATAAAAAAATGTCTTATGTTCATCTTTTTCAACTTCAAATTTATTTCATAACAATATCTAATATTATTTGTTCTACTAGCATTAATACTATGTTGATAATTATATTCAAGTTTATAAAGGTCTAAATTAGCTAATTTTTTATAATAAAGATTTTCATAAATTTTTATTTCACTTTTTGAGAATGAAATAAAATGAAGATTCTTGTATTTTAATGTACAACTATAATATTTTACAAAATTTTGTATCACTATCAAGTAACATAACTTATTATAAGTAACTTTAGTATTCCAACATTTTAATTCAAGATATATAACTTATCAATAAATTTTTTCTTCTTACATTCAAACTGAAGATTGAGTTTAGAATCATAATCAATATAAAGATGTTATTTAGAAATGATGATATACAAAAAAATTGTCTCTACAAGATGGTGCAAGAAATAATATGTAAGTTTTTAAGAAAGTTTTTAATAAAAAACACCATAATCTTTTTTAATTTGAATTTGTTTTTAATTTTTAATTCTTTTCTTTTTAGAAAATTTCTACACTTAAAACTGTTATATAATACCTACATTTTCTAATATGTGTTAAAGTTAGGTTAACATTAATGTTAAAGACGGTTTGTATAGTAAAAATTTTTTTAAAGTATCAAAGAATGTTTAATAAACAAAATTTTGAGTTAAGTCATTTTTTTAAAAAAAACCCTTATTTTAATTAACAAAAAAAAAGTTGTAAATTATGTTAATTTAATTTGTCAATCTAGTAAAGTATTATTTAATACCTATTAACTTTAGCAATGCACTTTAATTCCTTGGTTTTTTATAGCATGAAAATTTTAAACTGACCATCAAACCCGCTTCTTTTTTTCTTTTTTTTTTTAAAAAAATAGTCCTAAGTCCTAACCTAAACCCTAAAAGATGGTTAAAAAAATGCACCAAAAAAATTTTACAACAACGCCATTTTAATCTGATAATCTTAACATCATGTCTAAAGATGGGCATTATGTATTTATCAGTGCAAGGCTGGCTTAATTGTTACATGGCTAATTATCTAAGTTAAAATATGTGCTGATTAAGCACCTCGCACTGATAAGTGCGCGGTATTTGATTTATATTCAATATAAATCTGGCTTAAAACAGTCTGAGCCCCTCGGTTAGGTATTGTCGCAAATCAGGTTAAAATAAAATCCACATATACTCTTACTATAATCCTAACTAATTCGTATGGAATTTTCAGGAATTCCAAATTGTTTGAGAAGTTTACTAATATACTTATGTTCCAGATGTTTAGATGATCCAATGTTAGGTTTAATCTTATCGGCTTCTAAAAATTGTTTCTCGTTTCATTCTCATCATCAGAGTTCTTCGGGTCTGAATCCATACATCGATTGGTTAATTTGATATAACAATCAGGAATAACAGATCTGTCATAATAATACCCAAAGCATAAATATTAACTGTTTGGGTATATGGCTTTCCTTGTAAAATTTCTAGTGCTACATAATGCAAAACTCCGTGGGTTTCTTTCTTGGTATTAGAGACTCCTAAATCTGTAATATATGCGTTATCCAATTCATCTTGCAAAATATTTCCACTATGAAGATCTCGATGTTCTTATCCTTGCTTCGAGATCAAATGTTATGCAACTTAACAAAATTAAATTTTTTTCCCAATTCATTTGCGTTACTTCGGTAAGATTACTACGTAAAGATCCCTTTTCTGCATATTTCAAAATAAGAACGTAATTTCCTGGCATTTTAAGACGATGGATTTTTATATCCAATCTCGCAAAACGCTTTTAACTTGAAAAAAAATATTAATCTTAAATTCAATATTAAACAAAACTCAATAAATTTACCTCATTAAAAAAGTTCTGACCATGAATTTTTTTAATTGCGAACGACTCTTTATCATAAGTTCCTTATATTCAATTATACATTCAGCATGATAACAATTGCGAATCCTCCCTTCCCAATTTCTTTAATATTTTATACGGAATCCATAATTTATATCTCTCATCATCCAATAATTTTTTCATGTTTTCATAAATATCAAGATATGAAAATTTCTTTATTTCTATTTTTATTATTAAATCGATATATATGAAATTTTGACAAATAAAACGATGTCGAAAAAAATACCTTGAAATTTATTTCTCTCCCTAGAATTATGTTTATTGAATATTGAGATATTATTTAAATTTATATTCTTAGAACAGACTTACATTCGAAATCAATAATCAGCTTCTTTTAACTCTTTTTTTGTTCCAATGCCATTTCGATAGCAATATCCAACATTCTTCATTCCATCAGTATGTTCCAATTTAGCAATTTTTAAATATTTTTTAACAATTCCGTTTTATAGCAATGTCCAAGGTTACAGATTGAAGTAATATGACCCTTTTTTGCAGCTTTTTGATAATAAAAAATGCTTTATTTCCATCTTTTTTAACTTCTCCAAATTGATAACGACATCCAACATTATTCATTCCATAAACACTTCACATATCTGCGGAGTTTTGATAATAAATAAATGCCTTATGTTCACCTTTTCAACTCCAATTCATTAAAGTAACAATTTCCAACGTTAAATGTCCCTTTAACGTTCCTCATATCTGCTGATTTTTGATAATATATGAATGCCTAATGTTCACCCTTTTCAAATCCAACTCCTTTTTCATAACAGCATCCAACATTATTTATTTTATCAGCGTGTCCCATTTCTGTTGATTTTTGGTAATATATAAATGCCTTATATTCATCCTTTTCAACCCGAATTTCTTTTTCATAACATTATTTGTTCCGTAAATATCCCATATCCGCAGAATTTTGATAATAAATAAAGGATTCGTGACACTCATTTTATAGATACAACACTTCACCGACAAGCTTAATTCACTGACATTCAATTCACCGACATTCATTTCACCAACAATCAATTCACCGAAAAGTTTATAGCTTGCACTAACCCTAACATAATTCTGGTATAATTACTTTGACGGTGAATTGATTGGAATTGATTGTCGGTGAATGTCGGTGAATGTCGGCGAACTAATTGTCGGTGAATTAAGTGTTGATGAAATGAACATGTCGTGTCTACGAAATGAGTGTCGGTGAAACAAGCGGGACCGATAAATAAATGCCTTATCCTTTTCAACTCCAATTCCTTTCTCATAACAATATCCAACATTCAATGTCCCTTAAGTATTTTCCATTTCTGAAGATTTTGATAATAGATAAATGCCTTATGTTCATCCTTTTCAACTCAATTCCTTCTTCATAACAGACACCAAGTAAACGTATTCCATCTGCTTCCCCATCTCTGCAGATTTTTGATAATAAAAAAATGCCTTATGGTCATCCTTTTCAACTCCAATACCATGTTGATAATTGTATCCGTTTATGAAGGTCTAAATTAGCTAATTTTTTATGACGAAAAAGATTCTTATGAATCTTCATCTTGCTTTTTAAACATGAGACAAAGTGAAGATCCGAATCCGCATTTTAATATGCAATTGATATTTTACAGAATTTTGCATCACTATCGAGTAGCACAACTTATTATGATAACTTCGGCCTTCCGAGAACATAAACCGATATCTTATGTTCTCATGAAGAGAGAAGAGAGAGAGAATTACATATTTCATATATATCATATGAGAACATAAATTATAAATTTTATGTTTTTAGTTGGCTCTCAAAAGAGAACATAATTTTTAAATACAATGTTCTCAATGTTCTTGAGAACACTGAGAACATTAGATCAAACACTGTTTACGACCCAACATTTTAATTTGAGATATATCACTTATCAATAAATTCATAATTTTTTTTTTGTTATTTCGCATTCAGACCGAGGATTATGAGTTCAGCATCGCAACCCACTTAATATGAAGGTGTTGTTTAGGAATGATAATATGCAAGAAAATTTTCCTGCAAGACGGCATAAGAGATGATACCTTAGGAAACTTTTAATAAAAAACATCATGGTCTTTTTATTCTTTTAAAAAATTCCCTTCCTTTTAAAAAACTTTTACACTTGACACTCTTATATAATATCCTCATTTTACTAATATAAGCTAAAGTTAGTTTAGTATTAGCATAAGAGATGTTTTATATAGTAAAATTTGCAAGAAACAAATGAAAATTTTTTGATATCTAAAGACTGCTTAATAAACAAAATTTTAAGCCGTTTTTTTTGAAAAAACAAACTTGTTTTAGTTTACTAAAGAAAAATTTGCAGATTAGTTACCATTATTATTTTACTTTAGTTTCTTGGTTTTTTATAACATAAAAATTTTAAACAGACCGACACGTCTGTTTTTTTTTTTGACAAAAAAATCCTTAAGTCCTAACCTGAACTACTAAAAAAAATGCACCAAAAAATACTTTACCACGACGTGTAAATTTCTAATTTTCGATCTAATAATCATAATGTTGTGTCCCCACTTTCATGTGATAGCTCATTAAGGATTTACTTATCGTTATTTGTGCCGGAATACAACCCAAAAAAGAGAATTTTGATTTTGTAAGTGCGTAAAAACACAAAACATTAACACCGGAGGCTATAGCCACAGATGATTACACATTATATGTAAAATTTCGTTTCCGACATTTTTTAATTAGTGCATCAAGTCTGATTTAAACACTAGTTTTTGAACACGTGTAAAAGAAGAAAAAGTGGAATTCGTGTCGGGTTAATCCGGAACGATCAAATTTGAACTCACTGATTGGCTATTTTCTTTTTAGGAGTTTGTATTACCGGCACAAATCACGTTAGGATGTTTGGTCGATCAATTAAATCAAACCTATTTGAAGACCCATATCAGAATCGTATAATTAAGATTTTAAATAATATGATTGGCTAGTTATCATATTTGGATGAGTTTTCAAATCCAGTTTGTTAAACATGCCTTCAACCTGCTTCTGATGTACAATTATGTAATAAATTTTAGTAGTTATGAATTCATAAAGTAGCAGATAATCAAATAGGTTAGAGTTAGGTGCATTGCAAAAGTTGTTGAATTGTTCACAAAAGTTTGAATCTGAAACAAAGAATGTTTTTAACCCAAAATCATTTAAATTATTATTTTTAATGTTATCTTCTAGTTGTTTTATATATGTTATTTCTCTTTCAGATGGCTGAAAGATTGTTAGTAAACTTAAAACAGTATAATAATAACTTTTTGCAAAAGAATATGTGAAATTTTCTTTCAATCAACAGATTAATAAAGGTAACTTAAGACATTGAAATATCTATTTTTGAAAATATATTTTTGTTTTTTTCATGTCTTTTTTGATGAATCAAATATGTCATCAAATTCTAATTCATTTAATAATTTGAGTATTTCAAACAATTCTTTAAAAAAAAAACATCAAAATTATTTGTGACTTTTATTAAAAAATTTATTCATTATAAAATTTTGTTAGATATTTTATAAGCTTGTCAATTAGAAGATAAATTTATTTAGTCTTTATTATTAAAAATTTGAGGCACAAGATTTTAAGCAGTAAGAAATATTATTAAGAGAATAAAGAAATATTGTTTAAATTTTGTTAGATATTTTAAATAAATATTAAGTTTTTTGTCACTAAGTCAGATATGAAAGAGGTGTCAATTATTTAAATAAAATAGTGTCATATTAGAATAATTTTCTAATACTTTAATGAACTATTTCATAAATTAAAGATGTAACTTTCTTTTTTCTAAATATTGTTTAGCAGCACATAATTCATATTTCTAATAGATTTGTAATAGCATTTGATATTTGGAATAATAATGTTCAAGAAAGATTTATATAGATTCTAAATATCTTCATTTTTTATATTCATTGATATATTATTATTTTTATTCCTATATTCATTGTAAAGATACTAAGTAAGATATAAAAGATTAAAAGGATGCAGTTTTCTTAAAAATCCTAATACATGTTCAAAAGTTTTATTTTTGAAATTATAAAATAATGTTAATTATACATATGTAATATATATTTAATTCAAACTAAATTAGAGTTTGACAATTTGTTAAATTTAATAATGATCTTATTTGCATTTTTAGAAATGTATGTAGTATTGTCTGTAAGGGTAGTGTTATTTATCACCTAATTTTTTTTTATCAAAAAGGTACACACCTTCCTCTTTTTTAATATATATTTGATCAGGTTCTTTATATTAAATTTTAATTTTTTTACCCCTCTTCCCTCCTAAAAAATCAGGTGATAAATGACACTACCCTAAACCATATTATATATTTTTATATATTAAGTTAATATTGTTAACAAATATCAAAAACTGAAGTTGTAATTATATCTGCATCACATTTTTTATAATTTTTAAATTAACCATACTTGATGTTAGATAATTTTTATTTTTATTTCAATATATAAAACAAATTACTAAATTTTTGTCTTATCTATAAGTTGACTTATCTGCAATAATACTGAATATACTTATTTGTTAAATACATTTAGTTATATTGAAAACTGCTAATTCTGAAATTTGCTAATGTTAAGTTGTAATTTATTATATTGAAAACCAAC